CTCAGCACAACATAAGCAGAAAAAGCTGGAAGTGGTGCTGTGGCTCAAGTGGTAGGTTGCTCGCCTTGAACTGAAGAGCTGAGGGACAGCGCCCAGGATCCAGGGTTCAGGCCCTATGACCAGCAAAAAAAAAAAAGGAAGAAGGGAGGGAAAGAAGGAAGGAAAGGAAAGGAAGGAAGGAAGAAAGGAAGGAAGAAAAGAAAGGAAAGCTAGCTAGGTGCCCATGGCTCATGTCTGTAATCCTAGCTACTCAGGAGACTGAGATCTGAGAATCACAGTTCAAAGTCAATCCGGGCAGGAAAGTCTGTGAGACTCTTATCTCCAATAAACCACCAGAAAACCGGAAATGGTGCTGTGGCTCAAGTGGTAGAGGGCTAGCATTGAGTGGAAGAGCTCAGGGACAGCTCCCAGGCGGGGAGTTCAAGCCCTACAACCAACAAAAAAGAAAGAAAGTGAGGGATGTTTGGGGGAAAGGAATTTAGGGGACTCTAGAGAATGAGAGGCAGATGATGGAGTAGAGTGGGAAGGGGTAGGGTGGGGTACGAGGCAGCTAGAGGTTTAAAAAGAAAACAATGTGGACAAAATGAGGAGGTGGCTCTACCAAAAAGTGGAGGTATGGCTCAAGTGGTAAAGTGCCAGTCTTGAGGGAAAAGCAAAGTGAGAGTATGAAGCTCTGAGTTCAAGTCCAGTACTGACACACAAAAACACACTTTGGACAAGATGATTCATTGATTAAAAAAAACTCAGACACTGAATGTTTCACTTTTTGGTAATTTGGTTACTTACACCTTGCTTTAGAAATACACTCCTTTAAACTGTTCTGCTTTCTTAAAAATGTTTATATTTCCTTTTTCTCTTTCTTTACTTTTTGGACTGAGTCTTCCTATGTAGACTAGTCTATCCTCAAACGTTCTCCTACTTCAGCCTCCCAAGTGACAGGATTTCAGGTGTGCATCATTTCCTCTGGATAGCTTTTCTTTTTCTTTTTCTTTATACTGAGGATTGAACTCAGGCTACTGTTTAGATCCTAAAGTTTGGAAAGTAAATGTGCAACAACCAGAAAGCAAGTTAATATTGGCAAATCATACAGTAAAATACATATAGTCAGCTGGGAATGTAGCTTAGTGGTAGAGTGCTTGCTTAGCATGCATGAAGCCCTGGGTTCGATTCCTAGTACCATATACACAGAAAAGGCCAGAAGTGGTGCTGTGGCTCAAGTGGTAGAGTGCTAGCCTTGAGCACAGAGAGGCTCAAGGACAGTGTCCAGGCCCTCAGTTCAAACCCTGAGACCAACAAAAATAAAAACAAAAAAATACATATAATCATATATAAACATCCTTGGTGTACTAAATGGGGGAAAAAGCCAACAGTGTACTTTTTGTGATGTATTTTTGAGGCTATTTTTTAAATGATTTTGTTTATCTTTACTAGCTTACATATAGTTATACAGAGGAAGATTTTACTGTTACAATTCCACAGGTTTATATTTCAATTGTGATTTTTTTAGTAGGTATGACAGCTGGGTGCCTGTGGCTCATATCTATACCCAGCTAATCAGGAGGTAGAATTTGTGAGGACAGCAGTTTCAGGCAAGCCGGGGCAAAAAAAAACAAAAAAAACCCCAGAAACTCCCATCTCAACAGAAAGTGATCAGTGTGGTAGCATATTCCCACCATTTCAGCTATGGTGGGAAGCATAAATACGATTGTAGTCCATGCCAGTCCCAGCAAAAAGGGAGACCCTATATCAAAACCAACCAATACTGAAGAAAAAATAGTAAATTATAATATGTATATGTGGATAAACCTAGAATCATACACATCATTTTGCTGGTCTATCTCATTTTCCTCTAAGTATACACTCCTCTTATAATTAGGATAAAATTGTGCTTGGTACTAGTGGCTCACACTTGTAATCCTAGCTACTCAGGAGGCTGAGACATGGAGGACTGAGATTCAAAAACAACCCAGGCAGAAAAGTCCACAAGACTCCAACTCCAATTAACAAATTGTTGACCAGAGGTATTGCTCAAGTGGTAGACAGCCAGCCTTGAGCAAACAAGAACTCAAAGCCCCGAATTCAAGGCCTTGTACCAGCACGTGCCCATGTGCGCGCGTGCAAACACACACACACACACACACACACACACACTAGAATAAAAAGACAGTTTCTGAAAGGTAAAACATTTTGGAGAATTTGACATTTTTTTCCAAATACATTTTCAGCCAATTTGTAACAATGGTCGTGTGTGTGTGTGTGTGTGTGTGTGTGTGTGTGTGTGTGTGTGTGTGTTGTATGTGTCAGTTCAGGGGCTTGAACTCAGAGCCTGGGCGCTCACTGTCCCTGAGCTTTTTTTTTTTTTTTTTTTGCCAATCCTGGGGTTTGAACTCAAGGCCTGGGTACTGTCCCTGAGCTCCCTTTGCTCAAGGCTAGCGCTCTACCATTTGAGCTACAGCGCCACTTCTGGCCTTTTCTGTTTATGTGGTACTGAGTAATCAAACCCAGAGCTTCATGCACACTAGGCAAGCACTCTACCACTAAACCAAATTCCTAGCCCTGTCTCTGAGCTTTTAAGTGCTAAAGGTTAGTGCTCTATCACTTGAACAACAGTTTGACTTCCAGCCTCCTCTCCTCTCTCCCTCTTTCCCTCTCTCTCTCTCTCTCTTCTTCTCTCTCAGCTAATTGGAGATGAGAGCATCATGGACTTTCCTGACCAGTTAGCTTTGAACCAGAATGCTCAGATCTCAACCTCCTGAGTAACTAGAATTGCAGGTGCAAGCCACTGGCACCCAGCTGTTGTTGTACTTACAAACAAGTATGAGCCGGGCACAGGTGGCTCATGCCTGTAATTCTAGCTACTCAGGAGGCTGAGATCTGAGGATCGCGGTTCAAAGCCAGCCCAGGCAGGAAAGTCTGTGAGACTCTTATCTCCAATAAACCACTAGAAAACCAGAAGTGGCGCTGTGGCTCAAGCGGTAGTGTGCTCCCCGAGCTGAAGAGCGCAGGGACAGTGCCCAAGCCCAGAGTTCAAGACCGACCAAAAAAAAAAAAAAGTATGAACAAAGTAAGCATCCTCAAACTCCCTTGCCCTGTTCTGTTTTTTTTTTTTTTTTGGGGGGGGGGGGAGGTAAGGGGATAGGCACTGGGCTTGAACTGAAGGTCTCATGTTGTCCCTTAGTTTTTCACTCAAGGCTGGAGTTCTATCCTGAGTCATACCTCTGCATCCCTCATGCCCACTGCATTTTTTTTTAACCTCTGTGTAGGACAACATGGCAGACATGAGCTGATGGGAAAGGCTGAGTCATACATAAGTCTCTCAAAGCACATTTAGAGGCAAAACAAAACAAAAAACCAAATGAATTTCTAAGCCAGGTTCAGTGATTGAAGCCTGCAGTCCTAGCTACTTGCCAGCCCCAGGGGGGAAAAAAAGGGTTTACAAGACTCCATCACCAACAATGGCTGGGTGTGGCTGTGAGCACTCGAAATGTGAGTACATTTTAACCCAGGCCAGCTGTCCTAAATGAAGAACTTCCTCCTTTTTTTTTTTTTTTAAAAGACCATTTGGGCCACACCCTAAGTATAAAATGGTATCCTATCTCAACAATGTAACGAAGTAGGAGAGCACTTGCCTGGCAAGGGTGAGATCCTGACTTCAAACCCCAGTGCAGCAAACAAAAAGCCTAAATTTACTTAAGGATGCACAAAACACTCTTTACTTAGTAGTGTACTAAACTTACAGATACAGTACTAGCAAGAAAGGAAAAGGGCAATGATTGGAGATAATCCAAATAATGGTTATTTTGAACCAAATTGTTTTCCAGTGAAGTCTCTGGGAGCCTGAGGGTGAAAGCTAGGAGTAGGTGAGAGGGTTTGTTTGGATTGGGGCCAAGCAGAAGGAACTGGAGGGTTTTTTTTTTTTTTTTTAATGGGGGGGGGGGTGTTTGTTTTGTGCTGGTACTGAGGCTTGAACTCAGGGCCTGGATGCTGGTCCCTTAGCTTTTTTTTTTTTTACCCAAGGCTGGTGTCCTATCACTTGGGCCACAGTTCCACTTCTGGCTTTTTGGTGATTAACTGGAGATTAAGTCTCATGGACTTTCCTGCCCTGACTGGCTTTGAACCGTAGTCTCAGACCTCAGCCTCCTGAATAGCTATGATTACATACAGGCACCCGGGTGCCCGGCTTTTGCTGAGGAGTATGTCTGGCAGGTTTTCGCTTGGGAAGATCTGGCTCTTGCTTGACTTCTGCTTGGTTCAGGACTCACCCCCAAAGGGCGCTGAGGGTCACCCGAGGTCCAGCCTGGGAGATGGAAAGTCCAGGGCTGGGTTGCAGATGGAAATGTGCAGGAGTTAGGCCCTGGAGTGGGTCTGGGGGAGGAGCTGGGGGCCAGATCTACGAGAAAAGCGGGATTTCGGGGGTCTAGGGGCGCGCCTCGGGAGTGCGAGAGTTTGCGCTGTGCCCGGGGGTGAAAGGGCAACCCAGCCGCACCTGAACGGCACCAGAGGCTGCTCGCTCCGCGGTCGCAGGAAGCAAGTCTGCGACTGGACCCCGAGGCGACTTTCAAGCCGGTGGTCAAAGTTTCTGCGCCGGAAGTCCAAGCTCCGGATGGCGCCGGAAGCAGAGGCAGCTTTCGTAACGACGTTACCGTCCGTCGACGATTCCGGGTCACTTTTGTACGGGGTAGTGCCTTTCATATCCCGCAACGACTGGAAAACGGTAGGCTGGCTGTGAGCCATGGTAGATGAGCACTGGCGCCAGCGCAGGCAGAGGAAGACAAAGCGAGGGTCCCCGGAAGCGAAGTTCTCGCGCGTTGCCCAGGAGACGCGCGAAGGGGCGTGGCCTGCGAGGGAGGGGACGTTCTCGTAGCCTGGTCTCCCCACAGCCGCCAGGATGGGGGGGGGGCGGAGGCCTAGCGCGTTGCCATGGAGACGAGCTGCCGTGAGGCGGCTCCACTTGGCTTGGAAAACGAGTCCCGGGCGAGGCCGCGTCGCGCTCAGAACAGAGGTGGGAATTTCTCGGAAGACCTAGCGCCAGCCGTTCCTCCCCGCCGGGAGGCACCGTTACAGTAGCCATCAGAGCCTCGGGCGTGCGAGGATCGGAGATCGTCGTCGAGGATCCGGAACTGGTCGATCTTCTCCCTCCCGAGAAACCCTCGCCCGGGACTTCCCCACCCTCTGCGGGTAGCAGGTGAGACCCACGGGGCCTTGTCTCCTGCGTCTCCTGGTCGAGAAGCCTATTCCAATGCTAAATCCCCAGGAACCCCCCCCCCCACACACACACACACCCTCCCTTGGAAGGGGCAAGTCGCCCTTGTCTGCCTGTGGACTTTGTTCCCTTTTTTTTGTCAGTCATGGGGCTTGAACTCTGGGCCTGGGCGCTGTCCCTCAGCCCTAGGCGAGCGCTCTACCACTTGAGCCATAGTGCCACTTCCGGTTTCTGGGTGGTTAATTGGAGACCAGAGTGCCACGGACTTTCCTGCCCAGGCTGGCTTTGAACCGGGATCCTCAGATCTCAGCCTCCTGAGTAGCTAGGATTACAGGCAATACTGCTGGCGCCCGGCTTTGTTCCATTTTTATAACGCAGAGTTTTACCACGGTTTTTTTTTTTGTTTTTTTTTTTGCTGATTTCTTCCACCTATAATGGAGCAGCTTTTAAACTGTGCTGGGTGACCCACAACTAGTACCTGACTCTTCTGTTTCTCTATGACACTTGTGATAAACCAAGGTTTGATTAGGTTGCTTTAAAGATCAGACCTGGAATTACAGATGTGAGCCACTGACACCAGGCTTCTCTGACCACTTTTTTTTCTGAAAACACTAGCTTCATTTAGACCTGGAAATATTTGGGTGATTGGAACAAGATGAATGAGTTGGGCATTTCTAATCTCCTTTTGCTGCCTTAACCTTTGGGTCAAATTCTATTCAGCATGATTGCCAATAAGAACTGGTCTAGCTGCTTCAGTGCCCGAATCCCTTTGGCTTTTACTCCATCCTCTTTCATCTGAAGTCCTCAGGACCACCTGTTGCCCATCCCAGCAAGCCATTAAAGACCTGCTTCCTCCTGCCTTTGCTGGAGGGGTAACCAGGTCTTCACTCTGGTCAGTGTTGACTCCCTTCTGCTCAACAGGGCCCATGCACTACGATCTTTCCTGTGCACCCTTACATTTGATTGTGTCTCATTTCTATTGCTTCCGTGCCAATTGACCCTAAGTGGCGTGTTCAGTTACAGTTGGAGCTTGGTGATGTGGAAATTCCTTGTGAGTGATTTCATTTAACTTTTTCATCTAATTGAAACTGAGCACAGGACCTTAGTTTAAAACTGTGGGCTATAATGGTTGCTTACTACTATTTTCCTGCTTAGTTGTACTTGTAATTAATGTCTATCTCTCCATTAGACTGAACTCCGTGAATAGGGGGACCATGACTGAGGTGTACTTTTCAGTATCCCCAACACCTAATACAGTGCCCTGATTTGGATCTCAGGACCTCGTGCTTGCACTCTATCACTTTGAACCATGTCCTCAATCCTTTGGTTTTTAGTTTATTTTTCAGATAGGATCTTGAGCTAACTTTGCCCAGGCTCATTCCAATCCTTCATTCTTCTACCTCTGCCTCTGAGTAACTGAGACCACAGACTTAACAGCACCATATCTGGCTTGCTTTTGAGATATGATTTTTGCCAAATTTGCCTAGGATGCCCTTAAACTGTAATCCTGTTATTTCCCAAGTAGTCTTTTTTTTTTTTTTTTTACTAGCATGGACATGACTCTTTCCCCCCTAACTATCCACACTTCAGAACAGTGTCTCTTCTGTACATTTGTTGTCACCGTGAAAAACATCAGACTCCTCTATTTCTGTTATCACTGAGCAGTAGGCAGGGTGGGGATGGAGGAAGGGGTGTCCTCGCTTCACTTTTCTGGGGTATTTTCTGATAGAGTTCAGATCATTGCCTGGCATTTAGGTATCCTCCTGGAGTCAGAAGGCTTTCTCCTTGTCCTCCCTATGATGTTCAGAATAAACCAGCCTCATCTGCCCTTCCTAGAATGAGCAGGATACACTAGAACCTGGCATCTGGGCTTTGACAGGACAACTTTTAGGCTTTCTCTTCAGTAGACTAGGATCTGCTTTCTACCAGTCCTTCCTCTCCTGAAATCCTAGAGAAACATGTCCTTACCTGACAAGCTTTTGCTTAAAAGGCAGAATTGTGGCTGTAAGGACATGAACTCAGCACTGGCAGGTGTTGGAGCTGGAGTGAAGATAGGCCATTGTAACCCTAGAGTGCTCAAGGTCTCCTGAGGAGACAGATGTTTGGGAAGTAGACCCTAGCTCAAGGCAAAGCCACATCTTTAGTAGTGTTAGGAGGGGAACACAAGGCTATAAAAACCCAGAACCAGGACTTGATCAAGTGTGGGGGTGTAGGGGTCCAGAGTGGAGTGCTCCCAGGGCATTTCCCTTAAGGAAGCAACCCTTGGACCAAGGGCTCCTCAGATCTCCACTGAACTTTGCTGAATGGAGCAGACCAGGATGTGTCAAGCTTGTGAGGAAAGAGGGTTCTGGGTGAGAGCTCAGCGTAGGCACAGATGGCTAGAAGGGATTGGCAGTGGTTCCGTCTAGCTAAGGCCCTCAAGAAACAGGGCAGGCTTATAGGAGGTTGGAGAGGTCAGTAGCAGCCAGGCCATTTGTGGCCACAGATTTCCGTCTTAGCCTGGCTGTGGGCAGCCATTGCTATAGATGATGCATTAGGTCCTTACTTTTCTGGCTAAGACTGCCAATGGTGTGATTAAATCAAGATATCCCTCTTTCAGTGAGACCTAGGGAGATGTATAATCTTTTCCTTCCTTCCTTCTATCCTTCCTTCCTTTTTTCTCTTTTTCTTCTTCCTTTCCTTTCCTTTCCTTTCTTTTTTTTTCTTCTTTTTGTTTTTGTTGTGCCTATCCTGAAACTCAGGGCCTGGGCACCATCCCTGAGCTTTTTCTCTCAAAGCTGGCACTCTACTTCATGAGTCACAACTCTACCTCTGACTTTTTGATGGTTAATTGGAGATAAGAGTCTCTTGGACTTTCCAACTCGAGTTGGCTTAGAACTGTAATCCTTAGATCTCAGCCTACTGAGTATATAGGATTATAGGTGTGAGCTATTGACATCCAGTACAATGTATAGTTTTTTGCAGGGTGTTTTGTTTTGTTTTTTAGGACTAGGAAAGTAAAGGTCCTGAGATTTCTTAGAAGATGAACAATAGGCTCACATGCCCTTCCTGGGCAGTGGTCTGTGTGGCTAAAGATTAGCCTCTGGCCTCTGTGCTCACAGTGGCTGTCAGTGCTGGCCTCCAGGAAGCTCTTAGCCACTCCCTTCCCGTGCCCTCTCTGAGAGGCTCGGGGATGGGTTTAATGAGGTAGGACTTTGTTACTTAACTTCAGTTTTACATTACACCTCCTACCTCTTCAAAGAGACAGAAGAAGGGACACAGGTCCTTCCCCACCCTTACTCAACCCCTTCAGTGACTCCAGCCCTGTGGGCTCTGGTTTCGGGTCACTGATTTGGGTCATTATCCAGAAGACAAGAGAGGAGATAGCCCAAGTGTTTCCCACTTAGAGGAGCTGGAAGGAAAAGACTGGATTTTGGTTTTGTTGCCAGTACTAGAATTTGAACTCAGGGCCTTGCACTCTTGCTTGTTTTTTTTTTTTTTTTTTTTCACTCAAGGCTAATGCTCTACTACTTGAGCCACACCTCTACTTCTGGCTTTTCACTGGTTAATTGGAGGTAAGAGTTTTGGAGATTTGTCTGCCCCAGCTGGCTTCAAACCTCAGTCCTCAGAACTCAGCTTCCTGAGCAGCTAGGATTACATGTATGAGCTTTCAGCATCTGGTGAAAGGAGAGAATTTTGAAGAAGGGAGAGGGCTCTGTGATTCGGGATGGAGAGCCAGGCAAGGGCACAGTCCAGGCATGTAGTGAACATACCCAATGAGATAGAAGGGGAGTGGGAGGGGGAGGCTTAAGAAATGCCAGACTCAGTGGCTTGCTCATTGTCCTGTAGGCTTGTGGACCTCAGACCACATGAGAAACATGCTAAAATGTAGGTTGGTGTGCCTTACCCAAAAATGTTACTGTTGGTTTGGGGACAAGGCCTGGTATCTGAGTAATTTTCTGATGGTCAGAGGACTGCCTTGGAATATCCCAGGGGCTCAGTCATCCATTTTCCAGAATTCTCCTGGGGTCAGCCTGTGTAGGGGTAGGTGTGGGGGGGAAGCTTCCCTCTAAACATCCTCTCCCTCCCTGCAGTGTTTGGGGGTCATGACCGATCAGAAGGATGCAGACCTCACCCATCTCTAACGGCCTTGATGACCGCAGCCCCAGGTACCTCATTGCCCCCTTGCCAGCAGCCCACCATCAGTGGCCTTTCTCAGATCACCAGCAGCCTGTATATCAGCAATGGTGCAGCAGCCAACAACAAGCTCCTCCTAACTAGCAACCAGATCACCACAGTCATCAACGTCTCGGTGGAGGTGGCCAACACCTTCCATGAGAACATCCAGTACACACAGGTGCCGGTGGCTGACATGCCCAGCTCACGTCTCTGTGACTTCTTCGACCCCATCGCCGACCACATCCACGAAGTGGAGCTGAAGCAGGGCCGCACGCTGTTGCACTGTGCCGCTGGTGTGAGCCGCTCTGCCACCCTGTGCCTGGCCTACCTCATGAAGTACCATGCCATGTCTCTGCTGGATGCCCACACATGGACCAAGTCGTGCCGGCCCATCATCCGGCCCAACAGTGGCTTTTGGGAGCAGCTCATCCACTATGAGTTCAAGCTGTTTGGCAAGAATACAATGCACATGGTCAGCTCCCCAGTAGGAATGATCCCTGACATCTATGAGAAGGAGGTGCGTTTGATGATACCACTCTGAGCCACACAGCCAGCCCCTGCTGATTGTTGATACAGACCATCATTTATCCTATACAAGGATTGGAAGTTGAACATTTCTACTTTTCTTGGTACAGGAACATGGCAAATACCTTTTTGTTTCTTTTCTTTTTTTTGGGGGGGGGGTCCAGTCGTGGGCCTGAACTCTGGGTCTGGGCACTGTCCCTCAGCTCTTCAGCTCAAGGCTAGCACTCTACCACTTGAGCCAAAACGCCACTTCTGGCTTTTTTTTCTGCTTATGTGGTGCTGAGAAATCGAACCCAGGGCCTCATGGCATGCATCGCAAGCGCTCTACCACTGAGCCACCTTCCCAGCCCCCCTTTTTGTTTCTTTTATTTCTTTTTTGGGGTATGTGTGCCAGTACTGGGTAAACTCAGGCCTAGGTACTACCCCTTACTTTTTCAATGAAGGTTGGTGCTCTGCCACGTAAGCCATACCTCTACTTCCAGCTTTTTGCTGGTTAATGGGAGATAGGAGTCTTACAGACTTTCGTGCCTGGGCTGGTTTTGAACCACCATCCAGATATCAGTCTCCTAATTAATTAGGATTGTAGGTGTGAGCCACTGGTGCCTGGCTCAAGATAGCTTTTTTTTTTTAGAGGTGGGATTTTTAGTCCCAGGGCTTGAACCAGGAGCCTGGGTACTGCCCCTGAACTTTTTGGCTCAAGGCTAGCATTCTACAACTTGAGCCACAGTGCCACTTCTGAGTTTTTTGGTGCTTAATTAGAGATGAGTCTCACAGACCTTTCTGCCTGAACTGACTTTGATCTGTAATCCTCAGATCTCAGCCTCTTGAGTAGCAGGGATTACAGGGGTAAGCCACCAGCACCTGGATGTTGCTATACCTTTTACCCTTGTAATACATATCAAGATTAAGCTCACTGATTATAACATGGTAGAGCTATGTTTTCTACCATGTTAAGTGGCAGTGCTGGCCATAGAGGGTGAGGCTGGTAGAAGCCCGGACCAACAAACTAGTGCCCAGTGCAGCTGGCAGGCCTGGAATCATGCAGCCCTCCTAGAATGAGCCTGCCATAATTCCTCATTCCTTCAGAGCCAGAGTCTTAACATATCATGAGCTTCTCCCAGTCAGTGCCAGCCTCCTGGATACATGGCCCGCAAAAGGTGCTCAAGGAACCCTGGTGGACTCCACCAACGGTTTCACCACAATGGCCCAACTCTGGTGTTCTAGGCTGGACTTACAGTGGAATTGGGCCACCATGGTAAAATACATGTCGCCCTAGTCCACTTCGTATTGGCATTTCTTCCATCTGCACAGAGCCACTTACTGTTTACAAAGTGCTCTATCCAGAGTCGGTGTGGGAGAAAAACTACTTTCCATTCCACCTCAGAAGAGGCTCAGGCTTAGACGCCTTTTCAGGGTTTCCTCTGAGGAAAGCTGGGTCACCAAAAGGCTTGGTGGTGAATTGCTGACTATCCAGCCAGTGCCCAGGCTGGCTGGCCATCAGGATCCACGTGCACAAGTCAGAGGGACAAATGAGTGCTCCAGCAGGCCCTGGAAATCCAGAGTCACTCCAAACCTGCGGTGCCAGGATCTAAGCGAACACTCGCTGTCGTTCTAGCCTGAGCTTTTCAGATCATGAATGAATGAGACAAAGAAATGCACTGCTTGGCTTGATGTCCTGACCCAGAGCTGTGCATCTCCAGCCCAGAAAGGCCCAAAGCTTTCTCTCTAAGCCTTTCCCTGCAAACCCTACTCTCACAAAGGGAGTAGCCAGGGGTCAGATGTAGTAAATCCAGAGAGAAGAAAAAAAAAATCACCATTCTAGACTGGTCTCAAAGTTCTTGTTTTAAGAAAAAATTTGAAATAAATATGCCATAAAGTTAACTTTGGGATATACAGTTCTTTGAGGTTTATTATTGTTTGGGTGATAGCGGGGTTTGAACTTTTATTTTTCATATAGGGTTTTGTGTTTGTGCCCAGGTCCAGATCCTCCTGTTTGGGCAGCTCACATGACAGGCATGAGGCACCACACCCACCCATAAAGGCTTCCCCCCCCAGTGCTGGGGATTGAACTCTGGGTCTTGGGTCTGTTAGGTGGGCACCCTGACACTTCAACCACACCTCCAGTTGTTTTGTTTGTTTGTTTTTGAGAGAGGGTCTCAAAGCCCAGACACATCTGTAGCCCATGTAGCCCAGGTTCACCATGGAGCCTCAATCTTGAACCCCCTGCCTCTGAGTACTGGAATCACCGGTCTAAACTTCCATGGCCAGGGGACATTATATCTACCTTTACCTTCACTAGTGCTACATGGCTATCTTGATTACTATGGCTTTGTAATTAACTCTTCAAACCAAGAAGTTTGTTTTCTCCAGTTTTATTCTTTTAAAAAAATTTTTTGGTGGTTTTTGTTTCTTTGCTTTCTGAGTCAATCAGCTTGTCTTTATCAATAACCCAGGAATCCTGCCAGAATTTTGCTTGGAATTAAGCCTATTGATTGATTGGGGGGAGCGGGGAGCCTATTGATATCTTTACTATATGGAATCTTCTGATCTATGAATATATTACATCTTTCCATTGATTCAGGTGTAGTTTTCAGCACAGAGAAGGTATTTACACTTACAATGATCACTTCTTGTGTAGTGCAGTTAGCTTTATAAATTAAATAATTATTTCATTTTTGGGAAACTTTTTTCTAGTTGCTCATCGTTAGCATAGAGATGCTAACAATGATTATTTGGGTGTTGATCTTTGATTTTTTGTTTTTGGGATTTTTTTTTTTTTTTTGGTCCGGTTGTGGGGCCTGAACTCTGGGCCTGGGCGCTGTCCCTCAGCTCTTCAGCTCAAGGCTAGCGCTCTACCACTTGAGCCACAGCGCCACTTCCGGCTTTTTTCTTTTTGCTTATATGGTGCTGAGGAATCGAACCCAGGGCCTCAGGCATGCAAGGCAAGCGCTCTACCACTGAACCAACTTCCCAGCCCTGGGATGGTTTTTTTTTTTTTTGCTGGTCCTGGGGCCTGAACTCGGGGCCTGGGTGCTGTCCCTGGGCTTCTTTGTGCTCTAGACTTGAGTCTCAGTGGCACTTCCTGCTTTTTTGAGTAGTTTATTAGAGATGAGAGTCTCATGGGTACTTTTCTGCCCAGGCTGGCCTTGAACTGCAATCCTCAGATCTCAGCCTCATGTGTAGTAGCTGGGTTTAGAGGCATAAGCCATTGGTTGCCCAACTGGGTGTTGATCTTTTAACTTGGGACCTTGCTAAACTCATTTAGAGAAGCGTTTTGTCCAATCCAGGCAGAAAGGTCTGTGAGACTCTTATCTCCAATTAACTACCAAAATAGCTGGAAATAGAGGTGTGGCTGAAATGGTAGAGCACCGGCCCTGAGTGAGAAAGAATAGAGATTGAAAGGCCCTGAGTTCAAGTCCCAGAACCAGCACACACAATAGACACAGACACAGACACACACACACACAATTTATTTTTAAAGAGGATCTAATAGAGCCAAATGTGACCTTTGAGATTGGATCAACAGGGTCCTTGTGGCCTCTTGCTGTCTTGAATTATTCTGGTAGAAAGCAGCTCAAATCATGAGAACATTCCAGAGCCCTAAGGAGAGGGTCACATGGCCAGGAACCAAGGCCTCCAGCCAACAGATATGAATAACTTTTTTGTTGTGTGTTTTTTTTTTTTGTTTTTGTTGGTCATGGGGCTTGAACTCAGGGCCTGGATACTGTTCCTGAGCTCTTTTGCTCAAGGCTAGTGCTCTACCATTTGAGCCACAGTGCCATTTTCAGTTTTTCAGTAATTATTAGATATAAAAGTCTCACAGGACTTTGCTGCCTGGCTGGCTTCCAACCATGATCTTCAGATCTCAGCCTCACGTATAGATAGGATTTTGTTTTGGGGATTTTTGTTTTGTTTTGGTTTTGGTTTTGCTTTGAGACAGGCTCACTGTATAGGTCAGGCTAGTCTTGAACTCCCAATCCTCCACTTCTAGACTGGTAGGAGAACAGGCATACATCATCACACCCAGACTGAATCACTGCTTCACAAGAGCCTAAGCCAGAACCACCCCCACTGAGCCACACCCACATTCCTGATCCTGTGGTACTAAAAGAGGAATACATACTTGTGGCCTTAAGCCACAAAATTTCATGATAATATTGGCAAATGACAAAATTATAATAATTTATTGTAAAGATCTTAAATTTCCACTCTGTTCTCCAAAAGAAAATGTATGTTTTAATGGGCTTAGTTGAAGAGTTTGATTTTATAAGAGGAGAAAGGCTGTGAAAGAGGTGAATAAGAGAGAGGGAGAGGCCGGGCGCTGGTGGCTCACGCCTGCAATCCCAATCCCGGCTAGTCAGGAGGCTGAGAGCTGAGGATCGCAGTTCAAAGCCAGCCAGGGCAGGAAAGTCTGTGAGACTCTTATCTCCAATTAACCACCAGAAAACTGGAAGTGGTGCTATGGCTCAAGTAGTAGAGTGCTCGCCTTGAGCTGAAGAGCTGAGGAACAGTGCCTTGGCCTAGAGCTCAAGCTCCATGACCACCACCAACAACAACAAAAAATAGAGGGAGGGAAGGAAGGAAGGAAGGAACGAACGAAGGAAGTTTACTTATCATTTCAAAGTTACTTTTTGCTTTTTTTCTGAGATAAAAATCTCTATTGTAGCTTCATATTTAAGATCTTCCTGCCTTACTTTCCCAAGTACTGGATTATAGGTGTGTACCACCAAGCCTAGCTTCAAAGTTAGTCATCATAGGGCAGAAACAGAAACAGAGAGACAGAACATGAAACAAAAACTAGTTTTTTAACTTCAGTTTGCTTCAGATTACTTTTTTTTAAGGATTAAAGAATTAGAGTGGAAGGGACCTTTGCTAGACCTTTTGAAACAGCTTATTTGAGAAATTTCATTTTTATTTTCTTCCTCTCCTGATTCCTAAGGCTGGATAATGATTTAGTTTCATTTTGGAATTGTAGCATGGGTAAATCCATTTTGATTTTCATTCTGAGATATATACACACACATATATTTATAGTCTGATATATAGTGTATAGATACATACTAGAGAATTCTATATAGTGTACGTATATAGAATATAGAGTGGTCTGTCCATAGTGCATAGAGATAGATAGATAGATAGATAG